AATCTAAAGCAATACATAAATGATAAACATGACTGTATAAAGATATAAAACTTTTGTATAGCAATAAAACATATGCAAAGTCAGGCATATGACAAATTGGAAAAAATCTTGTTGCAACTTACACCAGACATTGGGCAGACAAATTTAAACTAATATTAATATATACTAATACTATATATTATTTCTTACCTAGCAGATTGGCAAAAGCCCAAAACTCTGACAACACGACTCAAGGAAAAAAAAGACGGGTCAGGCATGAAATAAAAACTCTTGTGAATGTACCTTGTTATATAGTTCTGATTTTGGAACCGTGTAAATGGTTTACATAGTTAAAAAACAAAATTAGACTTTTAAAGGCAATTCTTAAATTTTAAAACAAATGAGCCTGTTTATCAACTTTATCGAGTTGGTGGCATAACCACACAGAGAAAATAATTACAAGTGACCTTAGCAAAGTATTTGACTATGTATTATCAGTAGCATGGTGTAAGGACAAAGGAACCGCACAGAAACTAAAACAACATTCAGTAATCTAATGATTAGTGTAGATAACAGCATCACTACTGGCCTGGTTAATAACATGGCCAGGGAAATCCAGCAGCCTCAAAGCCCCAGAGTGTGGTCTACTTGTCCCAGCAAGGATGAAGTTCTTAGGCCCATTGAATGTTTACTAGTGCTCATGGGGAAGAGTGAGAAGGGAGTGGAGAGAGTGCTGAGATGAGGCTTGAGACTGGCACAGCCAGAGAGCTTGAAGGCAGCACATGCCAAGCCAAGGAAATGCACTAGCCTGAGGGCAGGCAATCATCATGGAGTTTTAAGCATGGGAGTGACATGTTCATATCTATGCTTTATAAAGATCACTGGCAACAGTGTACAAAACAGACTGAAGAGGAACAAAACTGGAGCCAGCTGACCAGCTAGAAGATTGTTGCAATAATCCAGAACAAGAGATTACAGCAGCTTTAACCAAGAGAAAGAGAGTCAGTGGCCTGTTAGGAACTGGGCCACACAGCAGGAGGTAAGCAGAGCGGCAAGCTCATTTGTATTTGCAGCTGGTCCCCAGCCCTAGCATCAGGGGTATCACCACCTCAGCTCCACCTCAGATCATCAGGCATTAGATTCTTATAGAAGCACAGGTCCCTAGTGCCAAAAAGGTTGGGGACCGCTGCTCTACGTGACTGGGGGGGAAAAAAAAAGGGACACTCTCATCTCTGAATTTAAATGCCCTTAATATTTTTTTTTTTTTTCTACGTGGTTATAGCCTGCTTTCTCCACATCATCAAGACGATGACTTTAGAAGGCTGGCTACTGGAGATCCAGAAAACCATATATCACAATTCGATGCCCTTGTAACAATCAAAGAGCCCACTCTCTTGAAGAGTTGAAAGAGGCTGAGGGGTCACTGCCTTCCCCCAGGGTGCTGGTACAGGCAGAACACCAGAAGGGTAATGTAAATACTCAGTATGAGGCAACAGGGCAGACCAATTTGTTTTTCAATCTATTTTATTTCAGTTCAAAGCATCTTTGTAGACAGATAGTCTGAAAAAATAAGCCACACTTTGGTTATACTCAGTCTTCCCCAATCTCCAAAAGCAGTTGGGTATTGCCAAAGTGTGGCTCTCTTTCCTGTGCTGCCTGTCTGCAATGAGGCTTTGAACTGAAATAAAATAGATTGAAAAAACAAATTGGTATGCCCTGGCTCTTCCTGCAGTTTTGTATTATCCTTCAAAGCTAGTGTTACCACCTACTCTTTACTGGAACCCAACAGACCCAAATCACAGAGCAAAACTGCAATACTTTAAATGTGAAGGTCCCACCCAAACCTAAAATAGCAATTTAATTCAGGGCTTGTTGTTTAACATTGCATTTACATGCCACTCTCTGTCTAGTTCCTTGCATTTGCTGTGCTGGATTACATCTTCTGATGACATGTGCCATCTGAGTACAGTTTAAAGCAAAACTTGACATTGCTGATCTTAAATAGTCTGCTCGATTTATTACTGCCTCTGTAATTTTTCATGTTCATGAGCCCAAACATCGTATTATTTTTACCTATTCAAAAAGCCTGCTATTTGCTTTAAAGTATTCAATGCTTTAAAGTATTCAATTCTGCTTAAAGTATGCAACATTATTTTAAAAACTTTTAGAGGTAACCCAAAATCATTTGCAAATAAATTCTGAAATGATCACCACTAGAAGAAGCCTATAGTTTTTCTAGAATGCCGTAAGAATGTGTACCTGCACGAGATGGAGGAACACAAATGGTTTTGAGCTTAAAACACTAAAATGATGAAAAATGTTCTGAATAAACAGCTGTACAATTTGGTTGAAAAAAAAATTATATATCAGTTGGAAAAGGTCATCTCTGAACAGAACCATTAAGAAAAAATAAGATCTGTTCCCCTCTCCCCAAAAGACAGAAACGGTTTTGTCTGTAACACACGTCTGGATTTTTGTTTTTAGCATTTTAGGTAAGTTTCCATTTGGGGCCAAACTTGGGTAGTTTTCGCTGATCAGAATTCAGCAACATGTGTAACAACAACAACAAGAAAACTCAGAACCTATTATTACATTTTCTCTTATTTAATCCACACAATAACCCTTTGAGGAGGCACCATGATCCACATTTGACAGATTAGACAACTAATCCATAACTGGCCAAAAGCATGCAGCTCTATCAGCAACAAAGCTGGGTTCAGGGCCAGGGACTGAGAGCACAGGACTGTAAACAACAGCACACTCACTCACTCCTTTCAGTCCTCCAGCACCCCCAGTTCTTGCCACCTCACAGTCTCTGAACCTGCTGAAAAGTTCTGCCTCCCCACTTCTCTCCCCTTTCCCTTCTTGCTGGACTGGATCCTTGTCACTGAACAAGTTTCGGCTTAAACTAACTTTTTCAAGAGAGGCCTTCCAGGACCATCCTGGTATAAGAGGTCTCTTAGGTTAGTACTGTTTTGTTTCCATTTTGGCAGTTGCCACAATTTGGAATAATTTTATTTACTGTCTTAGACGCCAGGTTTTAGGTTTAACTTGCTCACCCTGGCCTAGCACAGCGGTGCCTGGTACATAGTAGCAGGATCTCAAATATTTGCCCAACCAATGGCCTGGATTTGTGACTGGTTGTGGGCACTGGCTAGCCCCAAATACAAAAACAGGTAAGGTGTGGTCCTTGCCCTTGAGGACCTCCTAAACTGGTAGAAAAGATAAACAGATGGAATAAGACAGAGTGCTGAGTGTGACCAGTTTAGGTTCAGATCCCAGCTCCGTTATGCATTTATTAGCTATGTAACCTTGGACATCTTTTCTGAGTCTTAGTGTCCTCATCTTTAAAATGGGAATATTAATATTACCTATGTCATAGTGCCAGTGTGAGGATTAAATGATAATCCATGTAAATCGAGTACACAGAAATCACTCAATAAATATTAACTACTAATTTTATGCTCATGCTGCTATGACAGCTGTATTTGAAGTTGTCTTTGTTTACTTGTGTACCATCTGTCCAAGCCCCTACAGAATTTAAATTCCATGGAAGGGCAAAGATCATGCTGATTTTGTTCACCACCCTATTTCTAGGGGTTTGAATCATCCTTAATACAAAGTAGGTGCTCAACGAATACTGAATTTCATCAACGCATGCTTGCAAGCATGGGGTGTTCTAAGATCATTTGACAAGCTGGTGATGAAGAGCTAGGTTTGGGAACTACTGCCATTTAAGAAAGGTGTCTAAATTAGAAAGTGGGGTGTGGCAGAAGTTTTATGATTTAGCCAAGTAGAGAGAAATTTCACTTTGGAGTTGTAATTAAATCTTCATAAACCACACAAAGATTTGGATATAATTCCAAAGAAGAACCAATAGCCCCTCGTTGAGAGACTTGAAAAAAGAAACTCTGAGCAGACTTGAAAAAAGAAACTCTGAGCAGTATATCCTGGGTCACCTGGCAGGGGGCTTCTGGGAATGAGCTCACTTTGCCATACCTATACCCTCGTACTCCCTTAAATATCTTAACCATCCAGAATCTAAGCTTCCTCCTCTTAAATGAAATAAAGTGTTTATAAAGTGTTGTCAGCACAAAAACGCTGGGTATGAATATAAATAAAGCACCTGGCTTATTGTGGAGCTGAGTGGATGGTATTATTACTTAAACAGGGGCAACAATTCCCACTTTAACTAATAAATCAGCAAGACCAGAGAGGTAATGGGAAGCCAGAGTGTTTGGTCAGAGCTCTAGGTGCACGGGACACTCCGTGAGAAGTGGCCAGAGGAATCGCTGGACAACACAGACGCGTCTAGGGCAGGGGTCGGCACTCTTTTTCTATGCAGGACCAGATAAATATTTTCGGTTTTGTGGGCCAAGCGATCAAAGCCACGCAACATCTGTCTCAACTACCCAACTTTGCTCTTCTAGCAGGAAAGCAGCCACAAACAAAACATAAACGAGGAACACGGCTGTGTTCCAAAAAAACTCCATTTATGGGCTCCGAAATTTGATTTCATGTAACTGTCACAATTCACATGAAATATTCTCCCTTCTCCTCCACCCCACCCCCCGCAACCATTAAAAAATGTAAAAACCAGTCTTAGTTCCTGGCAGACAAAAAAATGGGAGGGGGGATGGGCGGGCGGATCTGGCCAAAGGCCAGTTTGTCTGCGCCAGGCGAAGGGACTTGGCGGGAGTGGGGACTGAGACTCGCAGCAGCGAGAGGCCTGCGATCGCGCCGAGTAGCAGGCGGTGCGACGCGAGGACAGGCCCCAGGCGGAGAGAAGGCCGGAACCCCTCAGCCTTTCCCCGCCGGAGACTAGAGCCGAGCCTGCGCTCGTTGTGTGGGCCGCCTCTGGGGGCCCACGTCGCAGGGCCGGGGGCGGCTAGGACTGGGCTGAGGCCCGCGCAGTTGGACACGCGGAAGGGTCTCTGTGCGCCCCTTATTTGGGGTGCCTCTCGGGCCTCAGTTACAAAGGGGGTCTCCACGCTGAGTCCCAGCCCCGTTTCTATGGTTACCTGTTCAGCACCGATTCAAACTGCCGTTCTTTATTGACAGCGCCATAGAGGACACGAACACTCCTGCCCGAAGGGAACAATAAAGATTTCTCCATTCAACAGCGCCAAAGACGCCAGAAGGCGGCCATCTTGAGGCCGGCGCGGAAAGGATATAGCGGTACGGGGGAGGCCGGCCCTGCTCCGCGCGCCAGTCACGTGCGGGGGCGGGCCTCGCACGGGCGTGGCCGGCGTCACGCGCGCGCCTCCACCAATGCTACGACAGTGGGACTAGCTGGTTTCTGGCCTTGTCTCTGACCTCTGACCTGTGGCCATCCCCCTCCTCCCCGCACTCCCTAACGAAAGTTCGACTCAGGTTCCCCACCCCTCGCTGGGGTAGCACTAGGGTTAAGATCGTATTTCAAAAGTGGAAAGATAATAGATTAAAAAAAAAAAGATATTTCATTTTTCCAAAACAACATGTTCACGTGCAAGGCGGGGACGTGACCTGAGCCTCGTTCCCAGACGTATTCTCATTGGTGGAGAGGTGTGGCGCTGCTCTGACATGATAGGCTAACAGACCCGAATCAGCCAATCGTGGTGTCTTGAAGGCATTTTGATCCCGCCTCTCCCTCCTCCAACTTTAGTATTTAGGAGTTTGGGTGAAAAGTAGTCACAGATGTTCTTTTGCTCATTTTCCCTCTCACAGTTTGTCGCACACCATGCGCTCTATGTTGAAGCTCCTCTTGCCACCCTCACACAGCCAAACAAATGAAGTCAGATCCAGTGTCAGACCAAGTCACATCAGCGCTGGCCCATGGAACCTCACACTGTCACTCACTCTGTCACTGACACGCAGCCAATTTTTCTGCCATTGCCAGCCACGCCGCCCAAATCCAGATGTCTCAGTACAATACCGAGTTCCCTGTGTGGTTACAGCTGTTACAGCCACAGTGTCAATATTCAGTCATTCTGAGAGCTGTCATTGTCAGACTGACTCCTACTCCATTATCGTTTTTAATCACACTCAATTTACAGTGCAGAATTGTCACATTGTTGCTGTCAGCTGGTCCATTATTTTTTTTACTATCACTGTTTGATATGCAAACACTGTCAATGACCACAAACTTCAAACATATCTGTACAATATAGCCCTTGGACTGTGTGCCCAGTTGTCACCCTTTCAGTTGTCTTCAATGTCATTGTCACTTATCCACTTTCACTGCCACATAGTCAAGCCAATATGTAGCAGGCTCCTACCAGGTACACAGCAGCTGTCCTTGTTACTGCCCAATTAGTCACTTTCACTATGATATTCACACATCACTGTCACATTCAGGGTCAGATTTACCGTAGCTGACATTCAGTCACTTTTGTAGTCACTAGAGTCAGAACACAGCTGTTGTGCCTCCTAATCATTTATTTCCACTATTTCTACATTATCCTATAGTGAGTGTCCCCAATACAGCATTGTGGATTTAGCAAATGAATGCCTAGAATGGTGGGCAGCACATAGTAGGTGCTCAAGAAATATTCGTCAAATCGATGGATTAAACAATAGTATTATTCCACTGTGCTGTATGTAAATGTGGCTCCAGCTAAACTATCAACTGTTTCTGGAGTGACTACTACATGCCAAGAACACTGGGGTGAATAGAACATAGTCCCTTCCTAGTAAAAAAATAATGCAGCCGCCACCATGTCTACAGCTAATAACAGCAGTCCATTGATCTCACTCTTACTCTCCGCCAGGTACCATGCCAAGTTCTTTACCTAGATTATCTCATTTAATTATCATAACCAACCTATGAGGTAGGTAACATTATTACCCCCCTGGATTCAGTAGAAAACAGACCCAGAAAAGGTAAATAATTTGCTCTCGGTCACATAGCTACTAAGGAGTAGAGTTGGGCTATAAATCTAGGAAGTCTCACTCTAGAACCTTCAGTTTCCATCTCCCCCATCCCCCCGAATAATGACTTACGATTTTTACAAAATATGTGTTCATTATAAACAATTTAAGGATTATAGAAAAATACAAATAAGAGTTCACTATAAATCTTACCACTTGTCAGTAACATATTATTATAGGTGAGTATTTCTCCATCTCTGGGCACATATAGATGTAGGTAGGTAGATGAAGAAATAATAATGATAATAATGATAGTGTCTCTTGGTAAGCACTTTGTGCTGGACACTATTCTGAGTGCTTTCCATGAATGAACACACTTAATTTACTCAGATAAAGATGCATAGACATAATTTTATTAAAATGAGCTCATTTAACATAGTCAGGGTTCATATCATCAGCCAACCACCTGGTGATGTTTTTTTCCCCCCAAATCTGGTTCTTTTCCCAGTCTTTGCTGTCTTCCCTCCACCTTCCAATCAAATCGTAAGCCCAGAGTCATTGGGCTGCAAAAGCTGGATTTTTAAATAGCACCCTCTGCACAGCTGCCGCCCCAGGTCAAATGTCTCTGCTGTTCCCCAAGGCGATGGTGTTATTTGTAGAAATGAATTTTGCTAGAGGCTCAACATATGCTTTTTATTTCTTAGAGTAGGTATGTGAGCCTTGGCATTCTTTTTCTGTCTTTCTAAGTGTTAGAATTTCACTACCATTTTCTCCAATCCAATTGAAACTTGGTTTTCAGATCTTGCCCGGTGGAGACCAGAGAGTCTCAGATGAAGATACTGTTGGAATTTGCAGAGTGACTCAGAAAGGTCAGCCGCCTGCACATCCATCTGGATAACAAAAGAGGAGGAGGAGGAGGAGGGAGATTGCTAGGCACCAGTGGGAGTCTGGAGCACTTCTGCTTTACCAATATCTTATATTGTGAATGAATCCCTTGCCTCAGTTTCCCCGAGACAAAAGGCACTCTTGCATTTAAAATGATGAAATCAATAATTCCATGGAGATGGAGAATCCACCAAAGCTGTAATTTTTCCAAGTAAATCTGCCTCTCCTCTCCGGCTCCCTACCTCAGAAAAGACAGCCCACCCACCATTCTCTGCCCGATTGCTCAGGTCAGACACCTGGAAGTTGTCCTTGACATTTCTGTCACTCACCCTCATCCAGTCACTGAGTCTTATTGATTTTACCCCTAAATATACTCTCTCCATGTCCACAGGCAAAGTCCAAATGACCTTTACCTGCCGCCCACTGTAACATCCTCCTCATGCAGCCTCTTTTGATATCTTTTACTTTGTTCTGCACACCAGCATAGGCTTTCATTTAGATTAGAATCAACTTTGTTAAGGTATAATAAAGTTACATACAAGAAAATGTACTCATTTCAAGTGGAGTTTTGGCAATATATATACCAATGTAACCAATACTATATCAAGACATAGAAAGTTTTTATTTTTTAGAGGAGTTTTAGGTTCACAGCAAAATTGAGAAGAAGGTACAAAGGTTTCCCATCACCCCCGCCCCTACACATGCAAAGCCTCCCTACCATCACATCTCCACCAGAATGGTGCATTTGTTACAATTGCTCTACCTACATTCACAGACTGTTGTCACTCAAAGTCCATAGTTTACGTTAGGGCTTACTCTTTGTGTTTTACATTCTACAGGTTTGGTCAAAGTATAATGACATGTATCCACTATTATAGTATCATACAGAATAGTTTCACCGTCCTAAAATCCTCTGTGCTCTGCCTATTCATTCCTTCCTCCCTGTAACCACTGGCAACCACTGGCAACCACAGACCTTTTAACAGCCTCCATAGTTTTGCCTTTTCCAGGTATCATATAGTTGGAATCATATAGCATGTAGCCTTTTCATATGGGTTTCTTATACTGAATAATATGCATTTAAGTTTCATCCATGTCTTTTCATGGCTTGATAGCTCATATCTTTTTAGTACTAAAAAATATTCCATTGTCTGGGTGTACCATGGTTTATCCATGTACCTACAGAAATATATTTTGTTTGCTTCCAAGTTTTGGCAATTATGTCTAGAGTTGCTATAAAAAAAATCTGTGCGCAGGTTTTTGCGTGGATATAAGTTTTCAGTTCATTTGGGTAAATACCAAGGAGCACAATTGCTGGATCGCATGGTAAGAGTATGTTTAGTTTCGTAAGAAACTGCTCATCTGTCTTCCAAAGTGGTCGTACCATTTTGCATTTTGACCAGCAATGAACAGGAGTTCCCATTGCTGCACATCCTCATTTGCATTTGGTGTTGTCAGTGTTTTGGATTTGGGCCATTCTAATAGGTGCATTGTGGTATCTCGTTGTAATTTTAATTTGCTTTTCCCCAATGACATATTATGTGGAGCATCTTTCACATGCTTAGTTGTCATCTGTCAATCTTCTTTGGTAGGTTGTTTGTTAAGGTCTTTGGCCCATTTTTTAATCAGGTTGTTTGCTTTCTTATTGTTGAATTTTAAGACTTCTTTGTGTATTTTGGATACTAGTCCTTTATCAGATGTGTCTTGCAAATATTTTCTCCCAGTCTGTGGCTGATCTTGTCACTCTCTTGATAGTGTCTTTCACAAAGCAGAAAACTTTCATTTTAACAATTCCAGCTTATCAATTCTTTCTTTCATAGATCGTGCCTTTGGTATGGTATCTAAAAAGTCATTGCCACACCCAAGGTCGTCTAGATTTTCTTCTACATTAGTTTCTAGGAGCTATATGATTTTGCATTTTCCATTTTGGTCTGTGATCCATTTTGAGCTAATTTTCTGAAGGCTGTGAGGTCTGTGTCTAGATTAGTTTTTTTTTTTTTTTGCATGAGGCTGTCCAGTTACTCCAGGACCATTTGTTGGAAAGCTATCTTTGCTCCATTGTATTCCCTTTACTCCTTTTGTCAAAAACCCATTGACTTTATATGGGTCTATTTTGGGGCTCTCTATTCTGTTCTACTGATCTATTATTCTTTTGCCAAAACCACAGTCTTGATTACCATAGCTTTATAGTAAGTCTTGAAATTGAGTAATGGCAGTCCCCCAACTTTGCTCTCTTTCAATATTGTGTTGGCTATTCTGAGTCTTTTGCCTCTCCCTAGAAACTTTAGAATCGATTTGTCAAAGTCCATAAAATAACTTGCTGGGATTTTCATTGGCATTGCATTGAATCTATAGATCAAGTTGGAAAGAAGTGACATCTTGACAATATTGATTCTTCCTGTCCATGAATGTGGCATGTCCCTCCATTTACTTAGTTCTATAATTTCTTTCATC